TGTATTGCCTGTATGGTTTTTGTTGTTGTTGTTTTTGTTTTGGTCTTTTTGAGACAGGGTCTCCCTCTAGCCCCAGCTGTCCTGGAACCATCTATGTAGACCAGGCTGGCCCTTGAAATCACAGAGATCTACCTGCCTCTGTCTCCCAAGTGCTGGGATTAAAGGCGTGCGCCACCACACCCAGCCTATTGCCTTCATGTTTGTAAATGCACCTGTGTCATGCCATGCCCAAGGAGGTCGGAAGAGGGTGTCAGATTCCCCTGGAACTGGAGTTACAGAGAGTTGTTAGCCACCGTGTGGGTGCTGGGAATTGAACCCTGGGTTCTCTGCAAAAGCAGCCAGTGCTCTTAACTGCTGAGCCATCTCTCCAGCCCCTTACTAATGATTTAGTACTAAAAGCCACAGCCATGTCATAGAAGGGTGATGTGCTGTCTTTGAGATGGTGCATGCCAGCCTGGGCCAAGCCTTACTAGCAGACTTTTCTTATCACAATCGCAAAAGCACGACGATGAGGCTTTCAGGAAGATGGCGCACCTGGTGACCTGAACATAGCACAGCAGCTTCAGGCTGGGCTGAGTCTAGGTGCTCAGACAGTGGCATCTTGAAGCCTCTGTGTTTGTGAGCTACTTGCACAGGATGGCCTCAGGGAAGCCTTAGGGGCTTCCGGAGCACCTGCTGGCTGCAGAAGGTGCATCCTTCCTGCGGCTCCAGCCAGTGTTCCAGGGTTACAGCTAACTGCCTGGGGAAGGGCATGTTCCACCTCAGCCCATCCTGGTAACTCTCAGTGGCCATCCTGGGACCCCAACATTCTAAGTCAGGGTGGAGTGGCCGCACAGAACTGAGCAGGACCTGATAGGTTGGGCCAAGGAGAGGGCCAACAAGGTGACCCTGGATGCTGAACTAATTGAAGTGGACACAGAAGACACCAGACACAGCTTAGCCTGTTTTTAGTTGTCACCTATCTGTGCCTCAGTTTCCTCATCTGTGAAATGGGAATAATAGAAATCACTATATTTTAGAACTAGAGAAGTTTAAGAAATGGGCTCAGAATGGGTTCTGGAGCACAGGGTAACAGCCCAAAGCTGTCCCTGGTATCATCATGATCTGAGCACAGTCCTTGAACCACGGTGACCAGGCAGACACAGGAAGGGTTCTGTTCAGTCCTCAGTCCCTCCCTAGCCTTTGAGTAGCTAACTCCCCCTCTAGGGTCCCTAGCACCTGGGGTCCCCACCCCAGCTCTGGTCATCCATGTGCTACAAGGCCTGGGTATGGGAAGCAACATGTCCTCTGTCCTCACTAGACCCCAGGGAGGAGAGGGGCTCTTTGGTCCTGGGGGCTGGGGAACCTGCCTGGGCCATACAGCTAGGAAGCAGTCAGTTCAGACCAGGTTCCCCACCTGCCACTCCCAATCCTGTACTAGCTCCACTGTGATAGGGGACGGAGAGAGGCAGGAAGGTGACCCCTCCAGGTCTGGGACAGGGCCCCCCTCCCCGAGGCTACCAGGCCCCTGAAGTCTGCCTGCCTGCCTGCTGGGAGGTGGAACCCAGGCACTTAATGACAGGTTAGCACAGCGCTATCCGCTGGCAGCAGGTGCAGGCAATGCCAACAATGGAGCAATTTTGGTAATGACGGGCAGGCCTGCAGCGGCCCAAGAGCCACTTCCTGTTGGCGAGCAGGGGGAGGGGCCCCACTTAGCTCAGTGATACTGGCATTGGCCTGTCCCAGGCTAGGCTGTTGAGCCCAAGCTGTAGAGGAGAAGCTCAACCTAGGAGCGCCGCCATCCCCACCCCCAATAGCCTCTGACATCTCTGACAGTAAGAGGGCCATGTGTTCCTTAGGATGCCTGGGTTTTATTCTTAGGCTCAACACAGACCCACTGGTGAGACCAGGCAACTCTTAACCCCCAAGCCTCAGTTTCCCTCTGAAGCATGTTTCTGCCACCTCAGCCAACTGATCCTTGGCTCCACAGACCCTCCCTTTTCTTCTTCACAGTATTGACTTGGTAACAGCTAGGGACTGCTTTCCTGACTCCTTCCTGGGCAAGCACAGTACAGGGCATGCAGTGAGTGCCTGGTGAGTATTTTGAGGGCTGGAGGGGGAGCTCAATTGGTAGAAAGCTTGCTTAGTATCCCCTCAGGTCCTGGGTCCCACCCAGCACTACACACAACCAGGCATGATGGTTCATATCTGTAATCCTAGCACTCAAGAGGCAGAGGTAGGAAGATCAGAAGTTCAGTCATTCTTGGCTGCATGGTGAATCAGAGACCAACCTGGGCTGTATGAGACCCTGACTCAAAACAAGTGCTTTGTGTGAATATCAGCAGAGCTGGGGTTTGGTTCTGGGGCTCATAGACCCTTTTTCCAATACCCTGCTCTCAGCGCTGTTCTGGGAACACTCCTGCCAGCCGCCATGCACACAGGTGGCAAGGGCTTGGATGCTGTCCCTCAGGAAGGCATAATCCTACAGAAGGGATCAGCTCAGACACTGCCATCCTGTGGCACCGAGGGCATAGCACTGCTCAGGGAAGAAGCAATGGAGTGGAAGGAGCGTGGGCTTGGCATCAGGACTGGCTTCAGATGCCTGCTTCTCTAGGACTGCTGATGCGTGATGTGGGTGATTCTGCATAATGGAAAGGTTGCGCCCTGGGTGGGGGGTTACTATGAAGACACCAGGAGGTGCTCACCTTGGCTGCTGACACCCAGCAGGAGCATCAGTAACTGTTGGTGAATGATTCTGTACACACCTGGATCCTAGCCAGAAGCCATGAGGTAGGAGGAGGCACAGAGAGGTGGCCAGAAGCCACATGGCTCTCCAGTACCACAGGGCTCCTTCAGCCTTGTCAGTGAGACGCTAGCCACCCCCAGCCACAGTCCTGGCTCCAAATCACTGTTCTTACAGAGGAAGGGACTGGGTTTGCCTTCTGGGGACGCTGGCAGTTTAAGGTCTTTATCCAGGCTGAGCAAGCCCCCAGCCAGGATGTGCCCAGAAACTGTCCCCACGCAGCACATTCAAAGTCACTGTGAGAGAAAAAGGGGCTGCCGATGCCGGTGCCAACGCCCAGGGGACCCTACTGGCCCTGAGCCCTGCTCTTTCACGTAATCCTCAGCCTGGCTGTGGCCCTGCCTCCTACTCCAAGTGGTTGTCTGTCCAGTAATGGTGACCCCTGGTGGGCGGCCAGGCCACCTCCCAGTACCAGGGCAGGCATATCCTGGCACTGCCAGTTCCTTGGGTCCTCTGTCTATTGCCTTCAGCTCAGGGTCATATTTACGCTGTTCTGCTGCCAGCCCACCTCCTCGACACCCATGCACAGTAGGTGCTCAGTAAACAACAGCTACACTGCTGGGCCTGGGCACAGCTCTGTCTCCTTGGGGCTGGAGCTGCAGAAGGCCCCTCCGTTGTTTGTTTGCTGCAGACACGGGCCCAATAGGCTCCGTGTCTTTCTTCTCTCCTCCTCCGTCCCCACACAGCGGCTCTGGGAGCGGCAGTTTCCAGAGATTGAAGGCAAAATTGCTTGAAAGCCTGTGCTTTTATCCTCCAATTTGTAGCCATTTAGTAGGGCCGGGCGGAGGGGCAGCCCGGGCGCTGGCTGTGCTGTCTCGTGGAAGTGCCCGCCGCTGGGGAGAGCAGTCCTTTGTCCTTCCCCAGATCACTTGGGGCTTTGGGGACAGACACCTGCTGGGAAGGCCAGGCCTGGTGGAGGGTGAGGCAGGCCAGCGCCAGCCTTCGGGGGAAGTCACGGGACCTCTCAGCTCTCAGGGACAAACAGGGCAGCAGAAACAGTGGGGGCTGATGGGTGTCCCTGAGCACAGAAGTTGGCATCTGCCCTCCACTCCCAGCTGCTCAGAACAGGGCCTAGCTTAGGGCAGGGTACAAGGACTATGAAGGCCAGTGTCCCAGGTTCACCCCACACTCTGGTGACCAAGGAAGGATCTAAGTGCTTTGTACCAGAAAGAGCATCCCGCTTGAGCCAGGAGAAAGCAGGATTCAAACCCAGAGAGAGAAAAGAGCCAAAGGGGGCGAGGGGGTCTGCCTAGGATTGGAGGAGTTCTCCAGGGAGTTGGGAAAAACTAAGTAGAGGCACAGCTGCAGGGGGAGGACACATCTGGAAGAGGAAGGCTTCGTGGGTAGACTACCGCAGAGCTTGGTAGTGAGGGGCGTCACTCACATGCATGCTCACAGGCATGGTGCTTGGCTGTGGGGCGGTGGCAGCACCATGGCAGGTTCCCTCCCTGCTCAAAGGAGGAAAGACGAGAGCCCTGAAGACTGAGGTGGTAGTTAGGTGACAGTCAGGGTTAGGGCTCGCCTAGCCATCCATCCTGTTCCAAGTGGTTTCTGGGGACCTGGGTGAAGGCAGCCACTAAGGTTATCTACTGAGGACAGCACCATCCACCCTCCACCCTGTCTTCTTTCTACCATCCTCAACTTTCAACCACAGTTCACCGCTGAATCTTTGCCTAGGACCACACCTCTGCACCTCGTAGCCCCCACGAGCCCAGCTGCAGTCCTCAAATTCCAGACGCCCTATCTGGTCCCTCCAGCCCCTTTCCTGAGCTCTTCCCAATGTCCGAGGTATGGTCATGACCCTCCCTGGGGCCTGTGTCTTGCCAGCACATAGCCAGGCTACCCAGGTGGAGGGTCAAGGCCATGAAGATGAATAGTCTCTGGCCCAGCAAGAAAGCCAAGGGCCCATCTTGGAACAGCTGACTACACTTGTGCTGCACTTTGCATTGTGAAGGCAGGTATGAGGCCCTCCCAGTATCATGCCCCCTCCTGAACAGGTACAAGAGCTGGTTCTCCTCCCCTGCAGAGCTTTGAAGAGTCCTGTGGTGGGGTGCTGCTGGGGCAGTCTCTTGTGGGAATTAAACCCTGGGATGGCAGCCTGGCTTTTCTTCCCTCTAGGTGCCCACTTAGAATGCCAAGACCAGCTTCTCATCTCCATGGGACCTCCAACAGGAACCCCTGAACCCTAAAACTCCCATAAACTCCTCAGGAGTCAGCACCCATAAAAAAATACACTTTATTGAGTCTTTACTTTGGCAGAAGCAGCACAGGGGGCACACAGACAGCAGAGCATGCAGAGGCCTGCGGCGGGTACACAGGACAAGGCAAAGCGACTCTCCCAGGTGTCCCCCCACCTTTGCGCTCCTGCTGACTGCCCTGCAAGCTTCAGGACCCCCAGGGCACAGTTAAGACCTCTCCTACCCAACAGCCCCCAAGAAATTCTGATGCAAGATGGGGCAAGCAGGGCAGGCTTTGGCCAGCGGAGCAGGTGTCACTGCCAGTAGGGCCATGTCTCGAGCCCGGGGGCGGGGCAGGCAGAAGCAGCTGGTGCAGCTCAGCCGGAAGCTGCAGCACGGAGGGAGGAGGGCGTGGGAGCCCACACCTGCCAATCCAGCCCCGAGCTCCTCGGCAATTTTGTCTCTCTTGATTAAACATCCAAGGAACATCAAGTTCACAGACGTGTTTTCTTCTTCTTCATCTTCCTGAAAACATCCAGAATGGAAAAGCAGAGAACAGCTTCGAAGTTCCTGGGGCACTTGACACTTTGAGGGGCAAAGAGTTGGAGAGAAGGATGAAGGAGCCAGGATCTGGGCTTAAGCAAGAGACAGAGGCCGCAAGGGCAGCATCCCAGGCTGTCTGGGGAGAGGGAAGGTACGCAGTGTGTGAAGGGTGTGCGCAGATGTGTGCACATGCAGGGCACACTGCTGGGGCAGGAGCCTGGAGCACACACCGAGGTCTGCCCTGGGGAGAACACCAACCACTAAATGTGCTAAAGGGGACATCACTGGCCACTGCACTGTCTGTGGGGGAGTGGAGCGCATGCCTGGGACCCTCTGGATTGTCTCTTCTGGGGAGAAAGAGGATGTGGTGTCAGGGCCAGCCAACACATTCCGGTTTTACCAGTGAGGGCCCCTGGCCAGCCCACTGGGATGCCCCACTGCAGGGCAGATGATCTAAGAAGTTGCCGTGGCATTTAGAGTGGGCCACGGACAAGGCAAGGCCCACACTTGGAGGCTGCCCAAGAAACAGGTGTAGGGGCATGGCCACAGGAGGGCAGGACAGCTGCTCACTTCCAGCACTGCTCCAGGGAGCCATGGGGCTGGACCTTGAGCTTCTGGGGGCAGAGTAGCTTGGTGAATGCTCTGCGGAAGCTGTAGTGACACAGCGGGTAGAGGACAGGGTTGACGGCCGAGTTGGCCCACAGAAGCCAGAAGGACGTCTCGTACCAGTAGTCGGGGACGCAGTGGCCATGGCAGGCAGCTCGGATGATCATTAGGAGTGTGTACGGGGCCCAGCAGAGCCCAAAGATGCTCACGATGATGGCCAGCGACTTGGCCACCTTCTTGTCCCGTGACAGCCGGAAACGCTGGGTAATGCTCTGGGATACCATCTTCATGCGTTTCTCCAGTGACGCCGAAGATGCTGATGGCTTGGAGCCCCTTTTGAGTGAGCGTGGCCTCTCAGTGCCCCTTGAGGAGCTGCCAGAGCTGGAGGTGGGCGAGGCAGCAGCGCCCCCACCACTACCAACCCCAAGGGCCGCCTCCCCGGCCTCAACGCCAGGGCCTGTCTCACCCACCCCATACCTGTGCAGTGGCATGGCTTCCCCATGCCCCTTTGGCCAGCAGCCCCAGCAGCTTGGAGGAGCTGGGGGTGGTGAGGGCTGGGCCTCAGGGGGGGGCTCAGGACCAGCCTCTCGGGCCCCATCAAGCCGGAGGCGGGTGCGCCTCTGGATGTTCAGGTAGATGCTGAGGTTGAAGAAGGTGACACTGAGGAAGGGCGTGAAGAACTCAAGTGTGGAGGCCGTGATGAGGAAGTACCAGTTGTAGAAGAACTCAGCGTAGCAGTGGCCCTCAGGGATGGAGCTGCCACCAGACAGGTACTCCCAGCTCAGGATGGCAGGTCCATAGAGCAGGAATGCCAGCACCCACACTAGTGCCATCTTCCGTACTGCCCGTCCTGTGTCACCCTGTTGGGCCCGGTATGAGACCTGAAGAGAGACGTGCAGGTCAAGATATCAGGAACATTGCTCTAGGAGTTTTAGAGCAGCCTCTGGACTTCCATGCCTTCCCTGGGCTTGCTGCCATGTTCCCACGCCCCATAAACTCTCCCCTGCCTATGTGCCCTGACTGGCCAATGCCCTGCACCTCTCCTAGAGTCCCCATCGTCAACCAGAATCCTGCTTTTTTTTTTTTTAATCATCCCCCGTGAGCTGCAAGCTCCCCGGAGCCCTGGCTTTGGCCACTACATCACCAGCACACAGCTTAGCATTGGCCACACCCAGGGGTCACACACAACTCTATCTGATGTGAGACTTCCTTCAAGGGCCAGAGCCATTTTCAGAGACACTGTGGTGAAGGGAGAGAACCTAGTCTTACCCCTTCTTGCCCCCACCCCCACCCCCAGAGCTGGAGCGCAGAAATAAAATCACCTGCTGGCCCAATCCTGGACACACACACACACACACTCGTGAGCTGGGGTGGTTGGGTCATTAAATCTTTGCCAAGAAACAGTGTGTCCAACCTCCAAGTGAAAGCTACCAGCAGGGGCAGGGTGGCAGGAGGGTCCTGCTGAGGGGTCTCAGATGGACAGCTGGAAGACACGAGGAGGCTCTGATAGCCACGTCTATCCTGATTGTTTTTACTTTGGGGACCACAAGAGCAGTGGTCAGAGTTACTGTTGACCACAGGTCTCAGGTGCACCTGCTCCATGCCAGCTTTGCTGGGTACTCCACCCTTTTGGGTGTCACCTTGCTTCATCTCACAATAGCCCTGTGACTGACACACTTTCTCGGTAACTCAAGGAGGGGCAGAAGGGGTCCAAGTGATGCTGGAGGACTCCATGCTAGTGCTCTGCGCAAGCTAATCTTCAAGGTGCTCCTGATAGAACCTTGGGTAAGTGATCCGCTAGAGGAAGCGAGGGAGTGGCCTTTGAAGCCCTGACCCACACTGGTGCCTCGGTGGGTACAGGACTATCTCACAGCAGCCACCCTGGGAATTTGTGCAGCTGGGAGCTGCGGCTTGCCTTCTTGAGGCTGTGTGTGCACCCTCGAGTACACAAAAAAAGTGAGAGGAGTGAAGAATTTCCCTGAACTCCAAGGATACTGGACCAGCCCCAAGGCAGAGGGTAGACCCTGATACCTCCTTCCCGCAGGAGCATCGAGTTCCAGGCCAGTCTCTTGCTTCTTGCCTGTGCCAGAGCCTGTCCTACGGGCAACTAATGGTCACTGAAGAATGGCCCACATTATCAGCAGAGAGCAAGCCCACCAGGGGCCTGCCCACAAGTCAAAAGCAGTTATCGCCTTGCCAGTCCTCCCTCCTCATGGATTGAACTCTGGTACCCACATCCCAAACTCACTGCTCGAGTGACTGACAGGAATCGGTCGTAACTGATCAGCACGATGTTGAAGACGGAGGAGGCACACAGCAGGTAGTCCACCACCAGCCACAGTTTGCAGAGGCCCCGGCCAAAGGTCCAGCGACCAGTCAGCACGTAAGGGACATAGAGTGGGATGCAGAAGGCACCTGTGGGACAGCAGCTGTGGTCGGACCAGGGCTGGAGGATCTTGGGTCAGACCAATGGCCTACAAGGAGGACAGAACCCAGGCGACACAGGGCAGCCACCTTTCTGGAACCAGCAATCCTTACCCTACCCTCCTCTTCCCCAGACGCAACTGAGTAGTTGCTACCCTTCAGCTCCCACAGTGCCCCGATCCCAACTGGTGTCTCCTGGACTTGGAGGCAAGAAAGAGGACCCCCATTTGGAGACCTCTGGACACAGAGCCTGGGCTTCTGCCAGTCCTCCCAGCCCCCAAAGCCGGGGGAAAAAAAAGAGAAGCTTGTCTGTTCCTGCCCACCAGGCGCTGGAGCCCAGCACCCCTGCTCTGGCTGTTGGACAGCCTCCCTCCTCAGCTTAAAGACCAAGAAACCTTTTCTCTCAGCTTAAAAGGCTCTTGTCTGCGGCCCCGCCAGTCGCTCTCACCGCCGGCTCCCAGCGTCTGGGAGACGCAGCTCGCAGCCCCAACAGGTGTCTGGCGCTCCGGCCCCCTCCGCGCACCCCGCCCCCCCATCCCCC